TTCTTGGACTTCAACTCCCAGAAATCCTGGCCAGCAGAGGTGGTGGTGAAGGCTTCTGGGAGCTGTAGTCCAAGAACATCTGGAGGCCCAAGGTTGGGGACCACTGCTATACAGCATTCTTAAATGCAAAACCTGCATTATACATTAATTACTGTATGTCTTTAAACAAAATCATTTAAACAAGTAACCAAAAAGAAAAGTTCCAAGTAAAAATACCATGTCATATAACGAGCTGATTCTAGGCTTTTTAGAACCATGTCTGAAGAGCACAATCCTTCTAAAATACCATCTTGGGCAATATCTCATTAGTGAGGTAGTAGTATACATACTGGTCTTCTCTTGTACAACAAGTACAGAAAATGGAGAAGGTTGATAACAAGAAATGCTGTATTCCAGATCATTATATCCAGACCACACCGGAAAAGTGTTGCCCAGATGATAAAAAGTGCACATCCTGCCAAAAAAAAAAAAGGGATGTTAACTTACTGGACATAAATACACATTCACCTCTGCCTTCTCTGTCCCCACAAACCTACAGATCTAGGAAGACAGCAAAATAATAAAATTGTATTTTCTTAAGCAGTTTGCTGTGTTAAGCCTGTACCAGCAAAAACTAAAAGACAAAAAAATTTGGTGGCATAGTTATGAGTAACAAGTTCTATGCAGCACAAGATTTTGTGGTCTATAGCTCGATTCTTGAAATGAAGTAGGATTGGGTTTATTTGGTTTGTTCCCATGAAAGCTTATGGAAAATAAAACTTTATAATCTTTATTTAAGGTGTCACAAGACTTGTTTTTATTTTTCTTTGGACATCATAGTCAGCTATTCCAAGAAAGTAAGAAAATGACCTCTTTCATTTGCTTGAAAATAAAAAAAAAATTCTGCTGTTAGGTCAACTATGATACAGTTCTGACATTACCCTTTCATGGGGTATGATGTGCAGTTCTGAATGGCTGTGAGCTATATTGCACGCACAATCCAATAGCTGAAATCCTGTTGTGTTGTTACACAGGCAGAAGGTGTAATATTCACTCATTTATAGCTGCCAATTAAGAAGTCACCACTTGGATTCTTGCAGGGAGTAGCACGTGTGCAAAACAACCTCTGCAAAAAACATATTTCCTACCCTTGTTCTAAACTTATAATAGTATTAGTGAGTTCCATTATGTGTAGAAAAGGGTCATTCACAAATGGGGTGCCACCATACAGAAGTCCCTGTTCTTGGTGACCATCTTTAATTTCACCCAGAAGAGTGACTCAAAGGAGGGCCTCTAAAGCAGAGGCCACGAAGTGGTAACACATCAGTCAGACTGACTTCTGTTCCATGCCAAATTACAGAGTCCTGTGCTATAATGAAAACATCTTCCGAGAAACACAGGAGTATTTAAAAGCCACTTGCGATGTAACAAGGAAGCAAAAGGATGGTCAGTGTTCAACAAAACAGTGCCTGGCCAGTCATACAAGAGCTCATCAGTGTTCCTAAATAAGTTCAGTTCTCTTAGTTCTGGTAGATTCTCAACAGTCTAACTCAGTGGTTCTTAACCTTGGGTTACTCAGGCGTATTTGGACTGCAACTCCCAGAAGCCTTCACCACCAGATGTGCTGGCTGGGGTTTCTGGGAGTTGCAGTTCAAAAACACCTGAGTAACCCAAGGTTAAGAACCACTGGTCTAACTCATGTATTGCTTAGCTCACCTATTGTTAGCATGGCTCGTAGAACAATCATATGAAGATGATATGTTGTCGGAATAACCAGTCCAACTGCAAAACAAATATTGGCCATATGAAAAACCAGATGGTGAATTTCTCTCCAGTGTTCACACATTGTTTCATTCAAAGGCACTGAGGTGCCATTTCTGAAATCTGGGACGGAACTTAAAGGGGTCACTGGGACTGAATTGGCTTCCATAACGCTCATCTTGAAGTGTCCTGTTGAATTTAAATATAAAGAATAATAATTAGAAAGATGAAGTAGAAAAAGAAAACAGAGCAGCTCATACCTGTAACTTGAATGAATAGCTACAAGAATCAAGAATTATATTCTGGGGCTTACAAGGATTAGAGCTTAAAATTTCATACAGTGAGACACTAAGAAATTTCAGCTATGTCCATGCCAGGCTTCTTTTCCTAATTCTAAAAATATCAGATAGTTTCCTGCATTAAAAATAAAATGGCACACCATCTAGTGCCAAATTGGTCTGTTTACAGAAGCTGACTTTTATTGTTTAAATAAAAAGATCAGCATAGCGGACTAAAACAAAGTTGCGAGTTCACCTTATCTATTCCACACCTATCAAACCGCCCTGTAGCACTGATGTTAAACAGCTGTACTAAATATAGCACTTTCTACTGTGCTGAAAAGCAGATAGTAAGACTGCACAATTTTTCTGACAGCCAGTTTTCAAGTGCCACAGGGGGGAGGTTTATTTTATCTTCAAGCCTGGCATAAGGACAGATAGCTAATGCATTTCACTCCTCAGAAGAATTGCCTGTGCAAGGACATCAGTAAGGGGCCCTTTTAAATTACATATACCAGTTTCTAGCAAATGCCTTACTGAAAATTATTAGAAGGATGAAATATAGTTCCTGGTTTCCAAACTTTATTTGTTCGTAAATGACAACACCTTCTAGAAAACATGCCTTGACTAGAACGTACACTTAAATAATCTGCATTTTCTGCTGCACTTCAACTTTCATACTTGACACGTTTTGTACAAGAGAGGCTCACAGGTGTAAAGAACCTAAGAGTTAGTTGGGCCTAAGTTCTGCTAAACTTGAGCATAATAGTGAGCAGATGAGATGAAACGTGCCATTTTTCTGATTAAAATCATTTCCCCACCTGCAAGCAAAAAACAACGAATGCTTAAGCCTCATTCAACTACAAGGAGCCCTTTTAATTGCAATCCAAATATGTCTGAATAAAGAGTGGCTTAAAATAACAACAATAACAATGATGATGATGATGATGTTAACCAATCTCATAATATAACAAGAACACAGCATGCTATTATTCTGTTATAAGATACTGCACTCATCTGTCACATCACACTGTTTGGTCTTTATATCCCCAATGAAATCTAAGAGCATACTGCCACACCATTTACAAATACATATGTTATAAATAGATATGTCTACCCAATAACAACTCTGTATGACTGCGTACTTCAGATTTTATCAAAGCAGTTTTATTGTGCGTGTTTTTTAAAGACAAGTGGCTTTAGGAGAGGAACAGGAAGGAGAGATAAACACTGAACTTTCAGTGTCATGAAATATTGATCTCTAAGCAGCATCACAGATACACAGGCAGTTAGGAAAAACCCCAAGGGATATCCCTTGTTTCTCTTGCTTCACCTGGCTTTGCACGGCTACACAGAAAAATAGCTGCTTTGCCCTGTTTACAAACAAACAAAATAATGGTTGTTGTGGGTTTTTCGGGCTCTTTGGCCGTGTTCTGAAGGTTGTTCTTCCTAACATTTCACCAGATGCCGGCCACAGAGACTGGCGAAACGTTAGGAAGAACAACCTTCAGAACACAGCCAAAGAGCCTGAAAAACCCACAATGACCATTAGATCCCGGCCGTGAAAGCCTTTGCGAATACAAACAAAATAATATTTAGCCCCTCATTTTAGAAAGCTCTAAAACTAACTGTTACAGAACTCTCATTAGAAGATGTTTACATTTTCCTTTTAATGTAGGGTAAGCTCTTAAAAATGCCTCTGGGAACAGGGAAGGCATGACCACTAGTGTGTTTAGACTGCTGGACCTGGACTGCAGAGACCTCAATCAAAATACCCACTTAGCCGTGAACGTTACTGGGTGCTGTGTGTCCTTGGGCCAGCCACTCTCTCTACTGCTCATGCCAGGCTATCTTCCTTGACAAAAGTCATAAAATAAATATCATAATCAAATAAACCTCTGGAATGGAGAAGAACAGATGTTCATATTATTAACTCAGTGCTGATTTTTGTTTTCATATTTTTGAACAAATGCTACACTTAACAGTACATTTGAAACTTGTTTAGGGGAATTCTGAACATCATATTAAATAGATTTCTGTTTTCTCCTCTGTTCTTCCCCCTGGTGGTTCCATACACACTTCCAACATCTGCTCTAGGAGGTTCTCCATCCTTCCAGAGCAGGCTTTGCAGGTCCACAGGGGATTTCAAGGGGGATTTTTTTTTCAGAGTTCACTTTGTTGATGGAAGCCATTCCATTAGTTGCACAGTCGATACAGGCTGATACAAGGCACTGCCAGGCCCTCAAACTACAAGTATGACATACAGCACTGCAACACACTTTAGGTAACCTGTGCAGACTGTCTCTCACTATCCTTTCCCAAGTTATTCTACCTTCTGTGCCCCAAGAACATATAGGAAACACAACCTGCTTCCGGACCAGAAAACTGGATGACTCAGATTGAGGACAACCATCAGGGCTCAGCTTCCTCTGACCAGTGACAAGCCTTAACTGTCCTGTTTCCAGCACAATTCCTCATAGGTTGGGATAATAAAGATGTCTGAATGCCTGAGCCTGTGCTGACTGCCTCCTTGAGGGCTTAAAACTTTTCTTTTCCTTATGTTTTTCCAATGACAGCTAAACAAAAAAATCTTTATCAAGGTACTGTATTTAGACAGTGTACACAGTTTTGTACCCACAAAGAGCGTCTGCCGCTTTCACACCTACTGCAGCCAACGTTCTCCAAGGGCCTTGTCTCCTTTTCGTCCCTGCCCTTCTCCACATCTGACTCCCCTTTTTCTCTGTTTGCGTGAGCAGGGGGGAAATACTGAATAAAAAGTGTTAAACAAAACTCTCAGCAATTCTGGTGGCTGGTTTTAACTGCAGGGCAAGGACTAGATGAAGGAAGCGTGGGGGGAAAAACAAATAGGGGAGGGATGTTATTTTGATTTCTTACTTTGAGCTCATCTCTGCTGGACCCTAAGAGGCGAAGACATCCGTGGAACGGATGATGGCAGGCGATGCAGCAAAAGTGACGCCGCCACCTGCTGAATGAAGGCAACTGGGGGGCAGGTCGGGAGAGGCGCCCACCTGCCGACCTGACTCTGGGAAGCCGCTGGGAATTCCACCGTGGAGGGAAGGAAAGCGGGAGGCCAACAAGACCCATGAATTCGGGAAGGAGGGAAGGGCCAGTCCCTCTGAGCATGTGGGAAGTGCAAACCTGCCTCGCTGAATAGGTCCCGCGAGGTCCCAAAAGCAAAAGGGTCCTCCGCTACGTTACCGCCGAGGGAAAGGTGCTCCGTGCCAGGAACGACCTCGGGCAACAGGCCGGCCGCCCTCCGAGCCCGACGCGACGGAGACCCCAGCACACACCGAAGTCACGCCAGAAAGTCCCCTCGTGTAAATCGTCCGGGGGGGGAGAGCGCAAAATTGGCGGGAGGTGGGGAAAAACTCAATGGGAAAGGCGCGTCTGAGGCTGAGAGCAGCCGCCGAGAGAAAAGGGAGCAGGCGATCCAGGGCTACGAGAGCTTAGCCAAGGCGCCGCGGGGAAGGCGAGGGAGGCGAGGACTCTGCCCTCCCCGGCCGGGCAGCCTCCTTGCCTCCCTCCCTCTCGCACGCCATGCTCCGTCCTCTCCGAGCTT